GATACCCGTTAAACTAATTCAAAGTGAGCTGCGTTTAAATGCAATTTTAGACATTCAACGAGGTTCTACGGTATTCAAGAAGTTCTTTCTAGAAAATGGAGGAAAAATTTACTTATTCACTAAGTAACCTATTTTTTTTGCAAATTTTGAGTCAAATTCGACTCAGTTTTGAGTAGTCTCATTGGCCGTGTACTAGTGTACTCTAAAATTATTCTTTTTTTCAAGCAGATTTTTGAGGAAAATTTTACTCACTTTCTACTATTTTGAGAGAAATCCTACTCAATTTTGAGTTAGTCTCATCGGCGGCGTCTAACGATGTTGTCACATCCTCAGATGATCTGAAGCAAAACGTACAGGTAAGCTATTTTATTGATGAATCTACGTTACGGTTGACCAGCAGATGGAAATGATGTGAAAATGATAATGACGTTTTGCTACCTGTCAAATCGTATGAAATATTTTTTACTACATCATCACTTTTGTGGTTTTGGTTATCAAACCTAGGTGTCGCATGTACTGGTGCAGTTTCGCGTAGATTCATCAATAACCTCGCAACCGGTCGCCTCTCTCTGTTCTCTCGATAGTCATAGCAAGTGAGCACGTGATTGGTTGATTGTTGCCTAAAAGTTTGATCAATTTTCGATAGTTTACCAATGATAAATCACTTTAATTTTTATATCAAACAAATCTTACATATATTCTGAATAGAAAGTGTGCAAATAATTTAAATCCATCAATAAATGGCCAAGTTATAATTGTTTAAAACCTAACACTATTTCGTTATACATTTGTTTATTTGCAGCCCGGTATAGTCCTCAAAGAATGCTTCAAAAACAAAAACGCACACACACTCAATTATGTTTTGTGCGATTTGTTTCCGTCAGTTTTTTTTTGTGGGAAGCTATCCGTTCGGTTTTGTGGACGGGCGATCGACAACAGATTTCAGATTTCAAACGTAAAAAGTAAACAGACAAAATCTTTCATCGGTTTCAAGATACGATACTTTTTACCGTGAAGAGCTATGGAAAATATTGACGTGTGTTATTTTTCCGAAAACCTGACCAGACTTCAAGGCTACGCTGGATGCTCTATTAAAAATACCATAAACGACCGATAACCCAAATATAGAACAATTGCACAAATGGTTTGGATTATACCCCGAATACGTCGTTAAGTAAAATAACCATACAAATTGTATTAGGGTGGTGTGTCCATGTTGTGTCATGATATTGGGTTTGTGATTGGATGTTTGAATCACGCAGAGGATTGAAACTTAGTCAGTTCGGTCAGTTTGGACGTTTGTCGAAAACCAAAAATAAATTGTCACTGTACAACAATATCTTTTCCATACATCCTTCGTCAGTGACGAAGAGAGTCCGATAGTAATCACCGAGGTAATCACTAAACAAATCATATAGGATATGGCATATATGGCATCTCAATTTCACTTATCTTTTAGGGTAAAGGAGATATTTTGGACCACTTTAGGAAGTCAATATTCAATTTCTCGACAAAGTATGATGTTTCATTTTATTTTCATTTTCATTTTATGATGTACAAGGGGGTCAGGGGCCATGTCACCGATGTGAATATTCACACCATCCATAATACACCAGGGAAGGGAAGAGGAGTGAGCAACACAGCATCTTTACCCATGGGGGTTAAAAAAGTTCTGCGAGGTACACTTATGGTGAACCAGCGGCTCAGGGATTGTAGAAAGGAAAAGGGTTGGGTAGGTTTAAAATGCAGAATTAGATGCCGTCACGATTGAATGCGCATGTTTAAACTACGTTGATCCAGGTACCTATCATATAAATTTGCATATAATCTAGTTATGATTATTGTCAATAATACTTACATTTCGATAAAGATGATGCTGCCTACTTTACCTGTTATTGTTTATTAATTTATTTGATAAGGCTCAACCGAATTAACTTTACAGAGCCGAGGATTCTTGGTCACTATACAATAGATCTTAAAACTATAGTCAAAAGGTACAACACAGAAACACTTTATCTTCCGCTATCCAAAAAGCCTCCTCCATCAGAACCGCTTCCAGTGGTTTCATTGTATGGCAAATTGTTGTACGCCAACGAGGGTCAGAGCGCGTCCATTGCAGCAATGGATGCAAAACGTGGTCAGCACTCACACACTCATCACGAAACGGTTGCTTTCCAAAGTCGACGACGCATCGACCGAAAGAACTGCTGATGAAGAACAATGAGGAGGACCACACAATGGTTGCTGCCGAGAAAACAGACGATCGCGTAGCACACATCGAGAGTGGCCTGCTTTTGTCGACAGCCGAGTGAACACTGTTTACCTGTTATGTGATACTTATCATCACAGAGTCCAACCTTGAATCGCAGACCAGGTGCACTAACAAAACACTCGTTCCGAGAAGGGGTTTATGGTCTTCTTCTTCTTCTTCAGGTTCGCTCACCACCCGGAATGAAGGCTCGGTGCGGTTAGTAATATCAAACAGTGTTACATGCAAACGAAAAAACGAAAAAGAGATACAACCAGGATTAGTTTTTTAAAGTAATAGTTTCATCTGAATACCCGACTAACCATATCTCAGTGACATTGTACCACTCTGAACCCACACCTAAAGCTATTTTGTGATTATATGGTTACTTTGGTATTCATATGAAATGTTGTGCAAGTACCAGAAGTTCAACAACGCCCAACTATGGACAACTCAATGTTAATACCATTTACTCTTTGAATCAGCTTACACCAACATGATAATCTACTAAGAAACATCTAAGAATGTATAGAGATAAAGTTCAAAAATACAGTTTTAACTGATGGTACTTTATAAACGTCAAACTGTCCAATATTGGAACCTGCCAACACACGGCGCCTGCACGGCAATGTGGGCCGTCAGAATGGTTCATCGGTTGCGAAGTGAAGTGTTTCTTAAACTGAAGCGATACATTTCTCAATGTTTCAACGTTATCCTAACGTAAACTTAATATTATCACCCATATGCCTGTCTAGTCTAGTCTAGTCTAGTCTAGTCTACACATACACAGCCAGTACTTGAAAGAATCCTGGAAATGATAGAAATACATCTATCATTTTCTTGTCATTATTAATGCCTGCTGCACATCAAGGATGTGAAACAAACAATAAAGCGGCCAGGCCTACTGTGTAGCGTTTAGTTAATTTTTGTGGAAGTGAATGTTTACCATGTCTACTTAATAAGTATAGACAGTGGTTAACATTTAATCCACAGGTAATCAAAGAGCGGGGACATACCGTACCAACCGCTCCGTATGCAGGATTTGAAAATAGGCTATATAAATCGTTGGGAGTGACAGAGCTAAGAAAGTTAATGTACACTCCTTGGTTGTCCGATCTCCTGGGATGGAACACAGGTATTTACCCCTTGTGTTCGAGCGTACAGTCCTCCCTCCGTACAAGCGTGGACGGCACCGCCAACCCACTGCCATCCCTCAATCGATCCAGCCGACCTCAGTCGAAGGACAACAGAGAGCGGTGTGCGGACGTAACCTATACGGAGGAAATGCTGTATTCGCCTAGGTTATAGCGCCCTTGCTCGCTATTCGTTAGTCGCTGTCTACAATGAGAAGAAACAATGCATGAATTTACAACACGCCCCGCATACACGTAGTACCGATATAAAATGTATATTGGTACTGCGTGTACACTTCCATCATCAAAGCAATTCCTGCTTTGTATATGGCACTTATTTAGTAGGATGTCTCCTAAAAAAATAGGATGTCTAAAATCCATAGGATGAAAGTTAAGTCTCATCCGAATCAAATGATTCCAAATGCTACGGATTCATAGAAATTAAGTTTAAATAGATAAAAGTAAAAAAAAAGGAACAATCTCACCAAATCAGTCCAAGTGAATCCTTTGCAAGCAGCTCTGTCACGTTTGGTGTAGTAGTTCCGATCATAGACCCGCCTTACGGGGATCAATCCTAAGGTTTAATATAGTCAATTGCTCCTTGACGCAAACACGAAGCGACCGCTCATAAAATCATACAACGCATAAATAAACTGAACTTAAAAACTATCACTCGCGATGCCACAAATTTCTGGAGCGGGAGCATAAGCGAAATCTAATTACAACTTCACAAAAGTCGAGAAAAAACGGAGCAAAAATTGACGGCTGAAAATTTTCCATGTCTTTCTTCGAGCACAGCACACTACCCATTCTTATCACCCATATGCCTGTCCACGCCCGAAACCCATCCACCACACATAATCAAATAAAAATGTTTCTGTATGGCAAACACGTCCAGACATAAACGAGAATATGGGTGTACATCTTCACTGTAACAACTACGGGTAATCATCGAAAATACTTGCATTTTACTCAGGCACTTTTGAGCAAACTGCAATCACTCTCTCATACTCGAAATGTGCCACGACCAAATTGGTACAACGACGCTCTCTGACCAAAGCGCAGGGTATTTCTCGACAAAGTATGATGTTATTGCAATAAATTATTAATTCATCAGGTCATTACGAAGAGCTGAATGTTTCTGTCAAAACAAACCGTTGTACAACGCAAGTTGACAAAAAAATAAGCAAGAAATATCATAAAAACTGAAGTCGTTTGGGAGGTATTCTCAAATCGAAATCGTCATTATTGCTCTTGGTCCGGTTTGCTAAACGTTCTAGTTACACACATTCAACTTCTTGCGCAACTCGCCACCCAATCAGAATGTTACGTTTGCGTAAATAAACCGTTCACCTGTGTCGTATCTATAATTTCCTTACCTTTTTTGGTTTTCGGTCTGTTGTGGTACCTTAGAATATTTTCGGCCGGTACGGGTCCCCATGACGCAGAGGAGCCTGGCAAGCTAGGTGGTTAGACCGAGTGGAGCAAGATTTAGGAAGTGTATAACGCACAAGCTGGTCAAGCCTCATCGAAGGATGTAGGACGGATAAGTGATACATTGAATCATACCTAACGTGGCATTCGGATATTTACGTAGAAAACCGTAAAAGATAGCTATGTTCCACTGAAAACTTTAATATCGTATTTTGTAAGTAAGAGGACATTATTGTAAAACTCCACTGCAAAAAAAAAAACAAACAATCTTTCCAAATACTTTAGCACTCAAGCACAATCACATCTTCGCTCCGAATCATTTTTTTTTTCTCACCCAAACGCTTTACTGATAGATAACCTGTTGCCCAGGTTGTCCGGGAAGCCGCACGACGGTTGCCGTTTGCTGCTGTTGCTGTTGCTGTGTTGCAGCAGCTGGCGGCGCTTCCGGTATTTCCTGACACATGATCGGTAACGGTGGATCGCCCTGGATCCAACTGATCAGCGTATGCTCCGGAAACTTTGTGCATTTCAACTGATCGGCAATCAGATTCTGCGAAAAGTTGCAGTGATTGTTGTACGCTTCGGTTTCTAGCGCCGGTTCCTTGAGCATCCGGTGGAGGTCTTTTAGTATGGCACTTCCCCACAGCTGCACGTGGATGTCAGGGATTTTGGACGCGAGCTGCATGGCTGGTGTTACCATGTTCATGCTTTCTTTCGAATTTCCGATACTGAGGAAAACGTGACTGAGCAGCACTAGCGAGCAGGACGTCAACCGGTTGAGGTCTTCAGCATTGGCCATCTTCAGGGTTTCTCGCAGGAAACGTCTGTGGTAGGGGAATGAGGGAAATAAATCGATCGGAATTCATCTCATACAGCTCTGGCACTGTCATATGGTTCATATATCAGAGAAATTGAAAAGTGATTTCTGCACGGTATATTGACAACCTAGTATCTCTTATTGTCTTTTTCTAGATAAATCCTCTCTTTTTTATATTTGTCTTCAGAAAGTTTTTTTTTAGTTTTCTGGAGTCAGTTACGTTTGTGTCAGATTTTGAATATTCATGAATTATTTAAAATTAATTTTTGAAAATAGTACATGGGAAATTATGTTTTTAAAACTTAAAATTGGATTAACAAGTGCAATCCAAATAGTAAGTATAAAACCAATTAAATAATAATAATAAAAAACAAAATTAATAGCTGCTTCGAAGTAACTCCAGAGCAGATATCTAGAAAGTTGTGGGGTGCTACCCCATTTCGAATAATGATAGCTCAACCGAAAAGTCATTTTGCATAAAAGATTTAGTAGGTCATAACCACCAAATGTTAACGACTCATGAACAAAAGAAGTCATGCATAAAATTTCAGCCAAAGAAGAAAGTTGCAAAATATGTCTCTTCTTTAGAGTTCCAATTACATATATTTTTTTTAAAGTTGGGGCTTTAAGAACTCCACTCTAGAAGTGCGAGAAATTTCTTTTCAAGTTAAGTTAGTTCGAATTTCTAATGTGAGTAACATCTTTTAAGGCTTGCCTGAGCTAACAACTAAAACCGCAGAATATCAAAATAAACTTCCACTTACTTGGCTTCGTGAAAGCTGCTCTTGTGAAATGCATTCAATCCTTGGACGTAGTAGAAGCTACCCATCAGCGCCTGACTGTTGGAGCACAGGGAATTTTCCTGCTGAACCTGGTCTAAAATTTGTCTAAGATCTTGCTCTCGCTTCATCCGCAGGTAAACGATTGCCAGATTGAGATTTGCAAACAACTTCAGATCCCGTTCGGTCGTTTCTTGGATGCAGGTGAAAAACTGTCTCTCGGCATGTTCGAAGTAGCTAGCGGACATGGCATACAGGCCCAGTAAGCAGTGCAGTTGAGCGGAATGTTTTTTCAGCAGGAATTTATTGGACGACGACAGGCACACATCCTTGGCCAGGGCGATTTCCTTGATCGCCAGCGATTTGTTGCCCATCACCAACCGACACATGATGATATGCTCCAGCAGGATGATCTGGAACACTGCCAAGATTGGCTTGTTCTCTTGAGCTGTAACCAAGAGGACATGAAATAAGTAACACGCCCTAATCAGAAATAAATCCTCAATACCAACATACATTTTAGCTTCTCAATCTGGGTCAACGCTTTCTCGGTATACTTCTGAGCCTTGTCCATATAACCGGCCATCATGGAGTGCGATACCGTTACCAGATAGACCAACACGTACAGTTGCTCCTTTGGCAACCACATAAACATTTCCGTATTGTTTTGACCGAAAATCTGCTCATCCGATGGCCAGTTTGGTGCCATAATTGTCTGGATACTTTGCTGCAGCTGCTTGAGACTAGTTTTGACCGTTTTCACCTGTCCAAGCTGCAAATAATGACACACCTGAAGGACGTAGAAAAACACCTTCAAATACTCTTTCAGGTGAATATTCTGAACAGCATTGTCGATTATAGCGCCAGCTTGGTTCAATATAGTCAGAACATCACTGCTCTTCCGTTCGATCATCATGATCATAGCCCGGCTAAGCAGAAATAACGTTTTCAAATAGGTAGCATTAGATTCATCCGTTGATTCCACTCCGACGGCCAGCAATTCCGAAGCGAGGGCGTACTCCTTGTCCGTGGCATGCGTTTGCTACAAATAACAATAATCTTAGTTCTAATCCTTTCGTTTCCATCGAGATCACTTACCGCCAGCTGAAACAACAGCTTACAATGCCAGTAGACATTATGCTGCGACAGTTCTATCGCCTTCCGCAAGACCGGCTTCGCCAGGGAACTTTGCTCCTGCTGTTGATACAGTTGCGCCAGCAAGCTGGCCGTGTCGAACTTCACGTCGTCAAAGTTGTTGATATTCTCCGAAAGCATCCACGCCTGCTCCAGATGATTCCTCGCTAGATCAGTGTTTTTCGTGTAGGCCATCAGGATCTGTCCCAGTTGCAAGTGCGTCCGAGCTTCCACTTTGAGCGGTGGCTTGAATGTAAACAATGCCTGAAGACACTGGATGCACTTTTTGATGTTCGGCGGCGACGATGTGCGGAAGTACTCCGCCAAGCCCAGTAGGGAGATATAACAGGCATCCTGCGATGAGGTCATCGGAGTGAAATTTTACCCGTTTGGGACGGGAATCGCGACGGAAATTACGACCGGGACCAAAAAGACGCTGTTAGAAGCTTCCACGACGCGCTTGTTTTTGTTCTTTTTGTTGTTGTTGATTTTTGCAGATTTGACGTTACGAGCTGGGGGTGCACAGATTTCGATTAATAAATTGTTGTGTAATCAGTAAATATTGTTCTATAAATAAATAATAATAACTATAATAGTTTGTTCGAAGACTTTTCATTCAACAATATATTAATCTGCATGGAATAAAAATATTATGAAAGATGACTCATTCCGTTCAAAATTAGATAATAATGCATGATGTACATTTGGGTGCAAAGTAATCTCCTATATTTTGGCGCCCCTTTACTATGGCGATGCTCCATCAGAACTGCACACTGAAAAATTTTTCACATAGTTTCTTTTAGGAACGCACATAATATTTTTACAGTATTGGAAGATTGCCGTAAACGCTCGACGTAGATGTCGCCACTGCATGATGATGATAATGTTGACAGACTGCATATAAAATTCGTGAAAATTAGCGTTGAATCATAATTTTCATCAAGCCTGTGTAAAATCCTTCCAATATAACATTCGAATTGAAGAAGAAAACGTTTTTACGATCAGACTGATGTGCATCTTTGACTTTTCCAGTTGAGCTTTCATTAGATATATTCATTTCATTTCGCGGCTCCATCAATGCTGCATCGTAAATATGATGTAAACAGAAGTAAATTGCTCAATTACTCAAAATAAAGATGATTTGTCATGTTGTTATCACTTTCAAAACCATCCGGCACCATTTAATAGTATGGTGCGTGTTGAGTAAAGCAAGTTCCGTTGCGTTTTCCGTCGAAAATTGTGAGTATCAATATGTTTGCTTAGAAAAGGCCAAAATGAACATTTATTGAATATTGGCGTCCTATACAACCAATTCTCCATTACCACCAGCATGATACAACCTTTCCTAAGTAAATTCACTTAATTTCCACTTTCATCTTAGTGGAAATCGCACATATTCACAATTTTCCGAAAAATGCAGCTGCGCAGGAGGTAACCTCTCGCTGTGGGTGCAAACTTGTTATGCATTATTTTCCATGAAAACATCTCCGATCCATACCGAAACAATAACAATTAGTTTTCAAACACATTTTCTTACACGATTCAAGCAAAAGTTTCCACGGGAAATTATTAGTTTTTCTTTATGGACCGATTTGCCCCAAAAATCGTCTGTTTTACTTTGAAAATTTGGAAACTATCCTCCTTCTAGTAGTTCTCACTTCGAAATGTAGGAGGCGGAAGCTTGGAAAAGTTTCACTGCAAGACGCCAATCAAAATAATTTTTTTTTATCAGAATATCACTTAAGCCTGGTACGCAGCTGAAAAGAAAACGGAAAAGTAATTTTTGAGGATTTTTCCCAAAAGAAAATTTGACAGCTATAGTCTGCTAAATTTTGAGATTATAGGGAGATGTCGTCAAATTGTAAAATCAACACTTATTAGTGTTTATGTTGTTTAAATGCATCCAAAACATCAGTTTTTCAATAAACGCCAACATTACCTAACGGAATAATTGATCAGACCATTATTCCGCAAGGAAAGTGAAATTGCATTCAGAATGCGCCACCTTCATGTCGATCACGATACTAATGTAATCGATCTTTCCTTTACCGATTTCTTTTGAACTGCGTACTGGGTCAAGAAATGCTGAGGAAAAGTAATTTCTTTTGCATTCCGTGTCCTATCCGGTAGCACATAAAAACGTCATTACTTTTCAGCTGCGTACCAGCCCTAATAAAAAATAACCATACACGAACGATAACCCAAATGATTGAACTAATGCCATTGTTTACAAATGCAATTACGCCCCTTTGAAATGTTGGCACTGAAATGTCAACAAAAATAAATAGCGGCACCGGTGGTGTAGTGACGATTACCTCTCATCCCAGCAGGCCTGGGTTCAATCTCAGTCGACGCCAGCTGGGTGGCATGCCGCGCCGCCATGTTATTGAAACCAACATCTGAAACGTCACAATTCAAGTGTGAACTGCAAAAATGGCGTGACTGCATTGTCTTATTTTTATCAAATGAAATTATTTTCCCTTTTATGCCATATAAATGGTTGACTTCGTGGTAGAAAATCATAAAATAATATTTTATGAGTTCTAAGTTTATTTTTCACAAAATGTAAGCAAAAATATTAAGAATATCTAAAATATCAGTCACGCCTTTTTGAAATTCTGGCTTGAATCTTCGATTTGTTTACAAATTATGAGCTGTCAGTGGGGCCCACGATTCGCGGGCCCGCAGCGATGTTAGCTCTTTTCAAGGCAAGGCAAACAAGATAGGGCTGCCACCCAGCTGGTCGACGCTGCTGGGATGTTCTGAGGCATAACATCTCTGATCGCGACGAGGATCACGCATTCCAACTTACATACACTAAGAAAATTTCAAAGATTGTTTTTATGTGTCCCACACATGAATTTTTGCAATTTGATGAACAAATTATGTTTATGTGTCGGACACATACTTTTTATGTGTACACATAAAAGCGATGTGAGAACACACATACTATTTATTTGACACATAAATTTCATGTGTACTTCTGAGTGGATTCTGTTTATGTGTGGTCTAATGAAAATCGTGTGGAATTTCACATGAAAATTCGTCAATAAAAATGTGTGGAATTTTTTGAGTGTAGTGAGTGTCTCGCTGTGGGTGCAAACTTGTTATGCATTATTTTCCATGAACACATCTCCGATCCATACCGAAACAATAACAATTAGTTTTCAAACACATTTTCTTACACGATTCAAGCAAAAGTTTCCACGGGAAATTATTAGTTTTTCTTTATGGACCGATTTGCCCCAAAAATCGTCTGTTTTACTTTGAAAATTTGGAAACTATCCTCCTTCTAGTAGTTCTCACTTCGAAATGTAGGAGGCGGAAGCTTGGAAAAGTTTCACTGCAAGACGCCAATCAAAATAATTTTTTTTTATCAGAATATCACTTAAGCCTGGTACGCAGCTGAAAAGAAAACGGAAAAGTAATTTTTGAGGATTTTTCCCAAAAGAAAATTTGACAGCTATAGTCTGCTAAATTTTGAGATTATAGGGAGATGTCGTCAAATTGTAAAATCAACACTTATTAGTGTTTATGTTGTTTAAATGCATCCAAAACATCAGTTTTGCAATAAACGCCAACATTACCTAACGGAATAATTGATCAGACCATTATTCCGCAAGGAAAGTGAAATTGCATTCAGAATGCGCCACCTTCATGTCGATCACGATACTAATGTAATCGATCTTTCCTTTACCGATTTCTTTTGAACTGCGTACTGGGTCAAGAAATGCTGAGGAAAAGTAATTTCTTTTGCATTCCGTGTCCTATCCGGTAGCACATAAAAACGTCATTACTTTTCAGCTGCGTACCAGCCCTAATAAAAAATAACCATACACGAACGATAACCCAAATGATTGAACTAATGCCATTGTTTACAAATGCAATTACGCCCCTTTGAAATGTTGGCACTGAAATGTCAACAAAAATAAATAGCGGCACCGGTGGTGTAGTGACGATTACCTCTCATCCCAGCAGGCCTGGGTTCAATCTCAGTCGACGCCAGCTGGGTGGCATGCCGCCATGTTATTGAAACCAACATCTGAAACGTCACAATTCAAGTGTGAACTGCAAAAATGGCGTGACTGAATTGTCTTATTTTTATCAAATGAAATTATTTTCCCTTTTATGCCATATAAATGGTTGACTTCGTGGTAGAAAATCATAAAATAATATTTTATGAGTTCTAAGTTTATTTTTCACAAAATGTAAGCAAAAATATTAAGAATATCTAAAATATCAGTCACGCCTTTTTGAAATTCTGGCTTGAATCTTCGATTTGTTTACAAATTATGAGCTGTCAGTGGGGCCCACGATTCGCGGGCCCGCAGCGATGTTAGCTCTTTTCAAGGCAAGGCAAACAAGATAGGGCTGCCACCCAGCTGGTCGACGCTGCCGGGATGTTCTGAGGCATAACATCTCTGATCGCGACGAGGATCACGTACACTCAAAAAATTTATCACATATCTAATGGATGAAATCCATGTGAATTTCACATAGCTTTCTTGTGATCACATAATAGCAAATCCCACCACAAAATCACATGAATATTATGAGGCCGATGAAATTCATTTGCAAAATCACATAAATTTAATGGGATCGCATAAATGCTATGTGAAATTTAGATGAATTCCATTAATTTTGAGTATGGATGAAAACCATGTGCATTTCCAATGGAATCTACATGCAAACTTTTTTCGGTGTATTCCAACTTACATACACTAAGAAAATTTCAAAGATTGTTTTTATGTGTCCCACACATGAATTTTTGCAATTTGATTAACAAATTATGTTTATGTGTCGGACACATACTTTTTATGTGTACACATAAAAGCGATGTGTGAACACACATACTATTTATTTGACACATAAATTTCATGTGTACTTCTGAGTGGATTCTGTTTATGTGTGGTCTAATGAAAATCGTGTGGAATTTCACATGAAAATTCGTCAATAAAAATGTGTGGAATTTTTTGAGTGTAGCTATGAAAATAGTATAAATCACCTACCTTCTAGCATGTCCATTGTTGCGCACTGTCCAGTTTGGATTAAAGCCCTACAGTAAAAGCAACAATCAATACGAAACTAACGATTTTAAATTGGCTCACTACTTGACTAGCCTATTGGTCCCAAGCAAACGATTAACTTACCCCATTATAGTCAAAATTCTAGTACTACACAATGTTTGTTTTGATTCGCTATGAAAGTTTGACAGATAAAATGAGGGGTTATTGGATTTTCCTATGTTTCGAGGGGTGAATCGGTTAGCTTGGGACCGAAGATAGTACCAGAGGTGAGCCAAAAAGTTGAGCACGTTTCTTCGGGACCTACTAGTCTTAGAGTTACCTCTATGGTAAAAGTATGGACGACTGTCACCACAAAACTGAAAAAAAAGCTGTTCCAATCGAGCAAAGCGGTGCATTTTGACGGTTCGATTGGAACAACTTTTGACAGACGTCC